CTACTTTCATTATTGGTCCTGAGGGGTTTATCTGTCCTGGTTTCCCTGTGTTTCCAGCTCTTATTTGTACCTGTGTACATGCTCTGGTCTAGCCAGATTTGTAAGGTAGAATTGGGGTCATGATAGTTTGGGGGGTGGGGTGGGGAGGAAGCATTAAAGAACTAGAGGACAGTTGTATGTTTCATCAGTGCTGTACTGCACCCTGACTGGGATGTCCAATTGCCTACAGATGGGCTTTGGTTCTCTACTCCGCACTCCCCTACATTCACAGTGATAAGAATTTTGTTCTCAACACTTCATGATCACACAGACTGGTGTGCTTCCTCCATGTGGGCTTTGTTGCTTCTGAGCTCGATGGCCACTTGTTTATCTTCAAACTTGTAAGACCTCAGACACTATATTTTTTGATAGCTGGACACCATCAGCTTTCTTCATCACATTTGCTTATGCACCTTCTTTGTCTTCAGTAATCGTGTGGGGAAGGTGAGCATCATGGAATGCCAGGTTAATAGAACAAAGTGTTCTTGCATTGAGGGAGTACTTGAGTATAGGCCCACAATGTCCATTTGCTACCTTAATACAAAACCTATGAATATATGTACATAGAACTATTTCCCCATAGTCATATATAAATATTTACACATGTATATCCCTGTGTTTATACCTCTATAAATGCCCTTTGCCTCTTAGTTCTTTCCCCTATTTCCTTTTACTTTCCTCTTGTCCCACTATCATGTTCAGCCTTCATTTGGGTTTCAGTAATTGCTCTCGGTTCTATTGCCCTTGATCAAGCCCTACCAGGCCTCCTACACCCTCCTCCCCATCGATTTTAGATCATTTGTTGTTCCCTTATCCCTGGGTTTGTTAATACCCACTTCCTTTCCCCCGCCTCCCTCTCTCCTGTGTGCCCCCGGAACTGTTGGTCCCGTTGTTTTCTCCTCCAGATTGTTTATCCCACCTATCTTATCTAGATAGACATGCAGAGACAATAGTATGCACAAAAACCAAGACAGAGTAAAACAAAGCAACAAAATAAAACAACGTCAACAACAAAAGAAAAGCCTGTAAATAGTTCCAGATCTGTTTGTTGACCTTTAGGAGTGTTTTCCAGTCAAGTCTGATGGGATGCCACATCCTGGCCCCAACATCTATTTTTGGTATTCCCCGGGGACTTCCTTGCTCTGCACCCCTTGCTGTTCTGTTGCACGCCCTTAGATCAGGCACAATTCCTGCACTGTGTCTCCAGGGTTGTCCCCTGTAGCGCTATGGGTCAGTAAGGGATGTCATGTCTTGTGGTGGGGCCCCCCTACGGTCCTGTCTGTGCATTGGCTGCTCTGAGCAGGAATATCATCTTTGGGGTTTTGTGGGCCAGAATGTGTTCAATTCTCTCTCCCTCCTCCTTCATTTGCTCCTGTGTGCTCTGATCAGATATGTCCCTCTCCATGAGCTATAGCTTCAGTGCTGTCTTTTGAAGTGAAGTCTCCTGGGTGGAGGAGGGGGATTTTGAACAATTGATGGCCTGTTCCACAGTTGGCTCCCGGCCTTGTTCTGACTGATGATAGTGAACGTGTCCATTATCTCTTTTTCACAGGTGAAGTGGATTTGATTCCTACGTATTCCTATTCTATATGGTGAGGTTCACATGTATAGTTGTATTTTATCTTTAACATCTTGCAGTTGTGTGGTATGTTTTTGCTGAACCAAAAATACATTGGTTAAAAACAGTGTATTGATACACTGTTGTTAACTAAAGTCTATAGTTTACATTAGTGGTCACTCATTGTGTTATATAATGCTACAGGTTTTGACAAATGCATGACATTGTGCAATAAATGGCAATGGAGTGGGGGACATATCTGACCTTCTCTGACTTCTCTATTGTCATGAAGCAGGGGTCAGACAGGCCTTGATGGTTCATGGTTCTATACCAATTCTGACAACAACCGTTCCTTCCATACCTCTATATTTCAGTACAATCATTCGTTGCAATGGCTACATTAAACTCACAGACAATACTCATAATTAAGGTGGCTGACTAGGGAAGTCAACAGGTTACCACCAGTAAGGATTGGCAAACAGTAAGGATACAGTCATTGGTATCCTCAGCTAGCAGCCAACCTCTCCCTCTGGTTCTCAGCCTCTCAGCCACATGGCTAGTGGCCTTTGCCTCCATGAGCCAGGAAGGCAGCATGGCTGACACTCTTTCCCACACTGCTCTAGTCTTAAACCAGACGAGAAGATACCTCACAATCTTGATGCTGCCAACTTGTCACATGCCAACTCTGATGCATCTGGTCTCGGCGACCTCTGCCACTTCGGACAGAGATCTTGAACTTGCTCTTCCAAGGTCCTTGGGCTTTTTCTCTTCTCCTCAAAGATGGCGCTTCCTTATAGCCAGGGGGAGGGGAGGAGTGGGAAGGAAAACTGACCAATCTCCTCTCTTAAATGTTACACACCTTACTTTCTTGATCTCACCCAATCAGTTGGAGGGAGTTACAGAGACTTGAGTAGAAGAGCCGTATGGAGAAATTTCCCTCCGTCACATCATGTATGCCCCACGGGTTCCGTAGTGCTGCTGTTATTCATCCTTCCCCTTTCCTGCTGACCAGCTGGCCACCATGGATAGTTTTTCTTTTTCCATAGCTTTGCTTTCTCTAAAATGTCGTGTGTTTGGACTTCAACAGCAGGTAACCTTTTCAGAGTGAGTTATTTTACTTAATATTATTCATTCAAGGTCCTGTCATGTCTTTTCATGGCTTCATAGTTGATGTCTTTTTATCACTTAATAATACTCCTTTGCACAGACATACCACAACTTTTTATCTATTCCCCTATTGAAGGGAATCTTGGTTACTTCCAACATTTGGCAATTATGAGGAAAGCTTCCATAAACATTGGTATATAGGCTTTTTTTGTGGATATGTGTTTTCATTTGGGTAAATACCTAGGAGCACAATTGTTAGATTATATGATAGGCTTTGTATGACATGCTCAGATGGTTGCCTAACGTGGCTGTACCATTTTGTATTTCCACCAGCAGTCACGGAGAGTTCCTGTGACTCCTCATCCTTGCCAACATTTGATGTTGTCAAGTACCATTGTTTTTTACTGTACTATAATTGTATAGCTATTTTGAAAACATTTGGGATGTAATGTGTAATGAAGCAAATGAGTAATAAAAGAATATTCAAATTCTATCAACTCCAATGATATAAAAAACTAGGACTTGTTGTGGGAAGAAGCAGCCTCAAAGATGCTAAGTAGGACCTGCTAATTCTGGATTAATGAATGGAAAGAGCCAGTATAAGTCATGAGATACTTATCTTTAAACGTACATGTTTATACTTATGTATATTTCCTATCTCTAGTCCCTGAAAAAAAGTCTGTAATCAATACCTAGCACAGTAGCAATAAACTTCAAAGCACTTACTTGAAATGTCTTGAAATAGTCATTTTCCACTAAAAGATATTAAGGTTTATTTTTTTAAATGGTTGATTTGAAGTCTAAGACAGGAAATGATTAGTATGAGCCTCGACATTTTGCCTTAACAGCAAGTAATTATAAAAAATTAGTAGGGTTGTAGGCCTAAGATAAGACCATTTAAACAATAATCATAATAATTATTGTAAGTAAATATTAGTTTACCACATATTATGTATTAAAATTATTTTGAGATGGATCATGGATTAAATATAAAAGGTGAAACTTTACAAAGCTTACAGAAGAAAACATGGAAGAATGTCTTCATGATTTTAGGGTAAAAACATCTTAGATAGCATACAATGGTCATTAATCATAAAGAGAAATAGACAATTTTGATTTTATAAAAATTAAAACTTCTAATTCTCAAAAGATGCCATGAAAAATATGAAACACAAATATTATTTTTGAGTAAAAGAAGACAGCATTTTAAAAATTCATTCTATGTGATTCCATCTGTAAGTTCAAGACAAGCAAAACTAAGCATGGTGCCAGAAATTAGAAAGTGATTACAAGGGGAAGACAAGAAAATTGACAAAAAAATGTCCTCACTAGGACATTTTGGGTGATGGAAAAGTTCATTCTTTTGTGTGAATATTGGTTTCATGGGGTGATACATATGTCAAAATTCATTGAATTTTCATCGATGACATCTAAGTATATGCAAATTATGTTTCAATGCCGCTGGAGGGTGTGTGTGCGCACAGATGTCTATGCATACTTGTATCATAGCACTTAAAACTCCCTAATGATCTATTTGTAAATCTCTCTTCCTAAGTAGACTGTGGGCAACTTGCAAGGCAAACCCAGAATCTTATTTATTTTTACGAGTTCAGAGAATAGCATAAAGCTCTCCATATAATAGGTAATCAATAAAATGCTGCAAAAACCAGTATCTACATGTGACCTTCAAAGAAACAAGAAGGAGACTATTCTGGTAAATAAGAGGTTTTTATTTAAAAATATGACACTAGCTTGATGAATCCAAATGACAGTGAAAAAGTTGTTATTGTGATCCTGAGAGTAACACTGAGATCACTGTCGCTTTCCAGCACAGATCTTTACTAATTTGGACAAGGTCCCGACCCTGAGAGAACTGTCGGTGGATCTCCATTGTGAACTAAATGTCTTCTCAATCATTCCTGAAGAATTCCCGAACCTCCACCATATGGAAAAACTGGTGATTCGAATCTCAGCTGAATATAAATATGATCCTTCCAAGCTAGGTAAGGGGGGTATTTTGATCATCAGCTACTTGATCTATAATTTACTTAAGAGTTAAAGCTTCTGTGGATTTGAGCATGTCTGTATTGATGGTACGCTATTTTTAAGTATGTATGCATATTTAAATATGTATCTACATATATAAATAATACATATGTATATTTATGACATGCTAGGAACTGTTCTAGGTACTTTACAGATACAAACTTACCAAACTCTCCTATTCATCCTGTGAGGTGAAAGGCGATTGTTAGTCCCGTATTATAGCTGGGCAAATTGAAACATCAAGGGGTGAAGTAATTTGCTCAAGGTCACCTAGCTAAGGAAATGGCAGGTCTGGCATTCAAACTCAGGAATTCTGACTCCAGAGCTTGTGCCCTTAACTGCTATTATTCAGCTTTGCCCAAAGCAGTTGGTACAGCCCTTTAGTTTTGCATTTGTTTATATTGCTTTCCGATTGCAGCGGACAAATCTGCCCGCTAGGGGGCAAAGTCAGCGCACTAGTAACAGCTGGAAGGATTGTCCTGTTCCTCACAAGCCGGAACTGAGAGTTAATGGACCACGTGGGCAGCCGTCTATCTTTCCATGCATCAGTTAGCAAAATTACGTAGGCACTGATTCCTGAGTTTAGTAAAAAGTTCTACTTTTTACGTACCACTGAAGTAAACAATACACAATTCAACACTGAAGAAACCGAAATCCCTATGGAATGGACATGTGGAGTTGCACACCAAAGATTCGCGGAAGCCGAATGAATGAAGCTGCGGATGGTTGTTTTCCTATATTTGCCAGACGTTTTGCATCACATTTAGGTTTGCCGCAGAGCTGCCACTCCGCTCACCCACCCTTGTGTGGCACCCCTAAGGGGTGGTGTGTACTACGAGCGTGGAGACCTCTGGATGTTAACGCTGATGGTCACCTTCCGGAGTAATGGCCCAGTGCCCTGGTCTGATAAAAGGGAAAACTGGTCCCCAGAGGGTTCAGTAAATCGCCCCAGTTCATGTAGCTCACTGGTCAGTTGTGGAGACTGAACCTAAGCCCCAATTAGCCCGATTGTGTGATCATTATATTATAGTGCCTTGTTTTATTTCAATATTACGGAAACAAAATAATATACCTTGCAGTTAATTCTGAAAAGCACTTACTGTCTTCTCTGATTTCTGAAAATCGTTAATATTTTACAGTCAAGGTGATTCAGAATTCTCCAAATCTTCGCATTTTTCATCTGGACTGTAACTTCTTTTCGGATTTTAATCCTCTCATGACTGCACTTGCTTCCTGCAAGAAACTCGAAGAAATTAAGTTTTCTGGAACATTTTTTAAAGCCAACCCATTTGGTAAGAGATATAATTATAAAATCATGGTTTAAGATGTTTTTGTGGGCAGAGCCATTTAGAGCACTTTTCTAAGAGCTACATTTTACAAAGTGGGATTGAAGTCAAAGAAAACTATTGTAACTGATATCTGATCTTAAATGAATTTCTCATATGGTAATGTGTATTTGTAAGAATTCTAAGCATCTCTAGATATTAAAAGTTTCTGAGCAGATATTTCTTTTACATACTTCATCTGGATCATTTTAAATTTTAACACTTTTGATCAGTCTTTATTTTAAAGGCATTCCTTTTTTTCCTTTATAAACTTAAAAAAATAATAATTTAAGATATTCCTTTTTGTTAGAAGAGGTGCAGTTAACAAAATGAATTTCTCTTTTCTCTTTTATAGTCATCATATTGCCAAACTTTACTTCTCTGAAGATTTTAAAACTTTCACAGCAACAGTTTCCAGATAAGGAAGTAGCTGAGAAATTTGGTATGTTTTCAGAATAGTATCTTCTACTGATTCTTTATTTTCCTCCAAATAGACCCTTTTTCTCTGGTTAGAATTTGCCATGACAAATAAGGAAGAATTAGTTTTCTTGTTATTTAGAAGAGACAACCTTACCATCCAAATTCCTTCAGTGTTGTTGTCCACATTCCTGACACTTGGTCCCACATCAAGCAATGTTCTCAGAATACATGTGTGGCCAGTTCAGCACAAAGTACAAGTTCAATGTCAAGTATCCATTCCAAACATGTGAATTAATAGCCTGTGGTTTCAAAGGTTTCTGGATGTAGGTATAGCTATCTTTTAAGTTAAGGAAACTTGACGGAACAAAACTATAAATGTAGTTTTTATACAAAAGTAATAGATGTGGACTGTTACTAGTACCAGATACCCCATTGAGTTGATTCAGACTCATGGTGGCTCCCTCTATGTCAGTAGAGGGTTTCCAATTGCTGATTTGGAGAAAGTAGATAGCCAGATCGTTCTTCCAAGGTACCTCTGAATTCCCACCTTTCATTAAACCCATTACCCATGTGTACTCTCCAGGGACTTCATGTGAAGTATACGGTGTGCTATTCAAGGTATTCCACAGAACCCAGGGAGTAAGAAGAAAAAAAAAAGACCCCACAATGGACAGGGGACTAATCTCCAAAATCTATAGAAAACTACAAGAAGTAATAGATGAATAACCCAATTAAAAAAAAGTGGGCAAAGGACATGCACAGATAACTCACCTTAGATAACATCCCAATGTTTAATAAACATAAGAACTGTTCCCAATTACCTTATACTGACATTGATAGCCAAGCTCAATAAAAACAGATGCTGGACCTCCTCCCTGGGGGATGGACAACAGAAAAGTGGGTGAAGGGTGATGTCGGATGGTATAAGATATGACAAAATAATAATAATTTATAAATTATCAAGGGTTCATGAAGGAGGTGGGGGCGGGGAGGGAGGGGAAAAATGAGGAGCTGATACCAAGGGCTCAAGCAGAAGGCAAATGTTTTGAGAATGATGATGGCAACAAATGTACAAATGTGCTTGACACAATGTATGGATGTATGGATTATGATAAGAGTTGTATGAGCCCCCAATAAAATGACTAAAAAACAAAAACTAAACAAAAAAACATACTGGAGATCGGAACTTTCATACACTGCTGATAGGACTGTACATATTACAGCCACTGTGGAAAGCAATATGGCTCCACCTC